ATAAAAATGGTTGAATAAGGACAACTCAGCACGTAAAGGTGTTTGCTGCCAAGTCTGATGACTGGAGTTCAGTCCCTAGGACCCAACTCTGGTCTCCACATGTGTGTCATGGCACGCATGCATGCACACACACACACGTTTTAGGAAAAAAAGTTTTGACTACACCACATATGTGTGTGTGTGTGTGTGTGTGTGTGTATATATATATATATATATATATATATATATATATATATACTTTTTTTTTTTTTACTGTACTACAGCACCTCTCATGGCTTTTTCCACTTTACATTCTTCTTTATCCCTATGGGGTCTCTTTCCTGACTACAGTTCTGTTGTATCTACATGACAGATTGCTCACCTTCATTTCTCCAGCCATGAATTCTTTTTTTTTTTTTAAAGATTTATTTATTTTATGTATATGAGTGTTCTATCTGCATTTACACCTGCCAGAATAGGGAATCAGTTCACACTATAGATGGTTGTGAACCACCATGTGGTTGCTGGGAATTGAACTCATGACCTTTAGAAGAGCAGATAGTGCTCTTAACCACTGAGCCATCTCTCCAGCCCCCAGTCATGACTTCTAACTTCACCTTTGTGTCTGTGGTGCAGATACAACAAGACAGTGCCATCTGAGCACCCCACTGCCCCTTTGTATCCTAACCCCTCACCTTCTTTCCTCAGCTTTCTCCATTCACGACCTTACCAGTGAGACAGCAGAGTGAAATTCATGCCAAGTTTGTTCCACCGTGCTCACAACTTTTAGAGGTGTCAGAATATCTGCTAAAGTCCCCAACACAGGGCTACTTTGCAGAAGTCAACTCTATTGGAGGGAGCACTAATTCCAAGGGATCCAAGTTGTCAGCCAACCTGAGCCTGAAGTAGCTCAGAATGAAAACTACCAGTCAAAGGGGAACAGCCCAACATTCAGATCTTCCTTGGGACTTTAAGGAGAGAAGGAGGTTGACATGAGCTGGGAACAGAAGGACAGATAACAGCTGAACTTCCACTAGGAACTCTTGATCTTACTCTTCACAAGGCAAAAGGGCTTTCCATGTAGGTGGAGGAGAAAGTACGGTGAATACAGATGTTTCTCCTTTTCCTTCTCTTCTTTTTTTCATCTTTACTTCATCTATTATTTGGGTGATTTTCCCGGTGTTTACAGAATGCCCGTTGCACGAATCTGGCACGTTGCAGGGCCAGAATTCCTACTGTGGAAGCTTAGGGGACCAGATACTTTATGTCTCTCTCCACACCCCAGAGCCTGAGCACATACTGAGCTGAGATTCAAAGTCAAGAAGGATGGAATTTACTCTGGCAGCATCAAATGTCAGCAACAGCAGCACTTAGTGTCTAATAGTCATGGTGCCAATGGCTGTCACTGGCCAGGTTGTCCCTGTAGCAGTAAAAAAAACTGCAAATTTATATAAGGTGAGTTCAGATTTAAGGAAATAAGTGACTTCTGAAATCAGATGAGGATCAATGAAATAATGTTTCCATTATAAATAATTCTTAATTCTCTGACATTTCATTCACAAAGTTGCTAGAATATGTGGCATAATAAAAATGTTATTGATCTGCAGGGCAGTGGTGCTCACACCTTTAATCTTGGAAGGAAGAAGCAGGTGGATCTCTGAGTTCAAGGCCAACCTGGTCTACAGAGTGAGTTCTAGGACAGCCAGAGCTACACAGAAAAACCCTGTCCAAAAAAAAAAAAAGCAATTGACCCAGTTGGTCTAAAAAGCAAGTTCCAGGGCTGGAGAGATGGCTCAGAGGTTAAGAGCACTGGCTGCTCTTCCAGAGGATCCCGGTTCAATTCCCAGCACCCATATGGCAGCTCACAACTGTCTGTAATTACAGTTCCAGGGGATCTGACAGCCTCATGTAAACACACAAACAGGCAAAACATTAATGCGTGTAAAATAAAAATAAATGAATTATTTTTAAAAATAAAAAGTGAGCTCCAGGTCAGTCAGGGCTCCACAGTGAGATCCTGTTTCAACAAATAAATAAACATGTAGTTGATATAAAATAGTGACTGTGGGATTAAGACTTGGAAGGCAGGGACTGGGGAGATGGCTAGGAGGTTAAGAGCACTGGCTGCTCTTCCAGAAGTTCTGAGTTCAATTCCCAGCAACCACATGATGGCTCAACTATCTATGAGATCTGGTGCCTTCTTGTGGCATTCAGATGTACATGATGACAGAACATTGTATACATAATAAATAAATCTTCAAGATTTGGAAGACAGGACTAACAAAATGGCTCAGAGAATAAAGACCACTGTTCCAATCCCGATGGCCTGGGACCCACACCATGAAGGAGAGAATGGACTCCTGAAAGCAGTCCTCTGCCATCTATACCCACATTGTGGTGTGTGTGCCCCACACAGATAATAAGTGTCATCAAAAATAAAACTTTAAAAGACTTGGAAGACAGTGTGAAATATTACTTGTACCTATATTCAGCAACTATCAATGAATAAAACAAATAAGAGATCAAGATGAATATAGCATAGGAATAAATGTTTCACTAAAAATTGCAACTTCCTGTTTTGGAGAATGTTCAAGTTTCATTCATTGGTTTACTCGACTGTTTTGACCTTGATCATGTATAAATCCTGGTAATCATTAACATACTCTGCAGTATGTCTGAAAGGCTCAGAAAGCCAACTTACCTTATTAAGACAACCAAAAAAACTAATAGATTATTTTTATGCCAAGATTTAATAGAGGGTCTGGTGATGTAGCTCAGGTGTCTGAGTGCTTTCTGAGCATACATGAGGCTCTGGGTTCACTGTCCACCAGCACATCAACCAAGTGTGGTGGCATGTAACTCCAACCTCTGCACTGAGGGCGAAATGACGGGAGGACCTCGGACGTTCAAAGTGATTTCAGACTAGCCGAGGATATATGAGACCTTGTCCCAATAACAACAACAACTTTGAGTAAAGCATACTGAGTAGAAGGTGAGGGAAGGGCCATGAGCAAAGGTCAAGAAGGGACTAGAACATATCTGGTTGAGGCTATTCAGACGCTCAATCGCACTTATCGTATTTACTGCTAACCCCGTTCATCGGTCCTTTATTTTTTCCTTTCAACAAGTAGCTGGATGCATGCTGGTAAGTGCTAACTACCCATTTTACATGTTTCCATTCTGAATTCCTTTTAACTTTTTCCTTCTGGGCTGAGGTGTGAACTCAGGGCCTTGCATACACTTTTACTTAGTGTAGCCCAGTACTATGGAGACAGAGACAAAGGATCAAGAGTTCAAATTCTGCCTGGGCTACGATGAAATTTACTCTCAACAAAAAACAAAGTCAAATAAAAAGCTGGGTGTGATGGGGCTGTTAGGGTCTGAGAATCACTGAAGAAGGACCCTAGACTCAAGTAGTATGCAAAAGCAAGGAGCGTTTATTCTGCAGAAATTTACCAGCATACTGGGACCACCATTCCTTAGAATGAGGCCTAGAAGTGAGCACACATGCTCAATTTAAAGGCAATTAGGGAGATTTCCAGGAGTGAGGTAACCTTTCATTTGATTGGTTAGTAGTGACTAGGGAGGGGGGGCCGGGATTAGGATTGGCTAAACATTGTGGAACTTTCCAGAGTTGCTAAGGGCTTTTCATCAGGTTTGCTAAATCTTGGCTCAAACCCATATGCTAACCTTTAAGTTGATTGGCTGCTTCAAGAGCTGTGGGTTTTAGCCAGATTAGCCAAACAGATTGGGGCCTTCGAGGGTCTTTCAGGGGCTTTGGAGTTATTAGACCTCTCATTTCCTCCTTAAGAAGTAGTCCATCTCAGATCGTTGAGACGTGACTTTGGGTTGGTATAGTTGCTTTAAAATTATTAGCTGCACAGGAGAAACACGCTCCTTAACTGACTAAAGCATTGATAATACATGGGCCACAAGTGAGAGGAAGCAATAGGATAACAGGTCCAGGAAGAGCTGTGACCAGAGCGGTTAACTAAGGTGACCAATTTAAAACATTGATTCATACCAGCTTTGGGATTGTTCCCGTTCTATCTTTTTTTTTTTCCTGTAACACCAACGTCCCAGTTCCTATGGCTCCTACCATCCCAACGCCTATAAGGGACAATAAGAGTACAGCTGTAATAGGTTTTTTTTTTTTTTTACCCTATTGCTGACCGGCTCTAGATGAGAACAGACCTCATTGTCAGGGTAATAGGTTACTTTAGGGAACTAGAACACAGAAATCCTTGGTACCATTTAGGATCGCGGTGTGCACACAAGGAGTTTATTCCAGAAGCACAAGCCCACCAGCACCGGAACGTCGAGGTAAGCCTTTTGGAGGCCCATGGGGAATGGCAAGCGACTCCTGCGACTCCTACGACTCCAGGAAAGGCCGAGGCAGGAGAACCACCAGTCTGAGCCGTCGAGGAAGACTCAGCCCAGCTCCTTCTCTCCCAGTTCTGTCCTGGGAACCGACTGTGAAAGTCGCTTCTCCGACTACTGGTGTGACAAGCTGAGCCTCCTACGCCTCAAGGTCTCCGTACGGTAGCAACGTGCACCGAGACGCACGACCCACACCTCGTCCTCCCGGGGCTCCCAAGCGCCGCACGGATTCTCCGCCTCCCGCTCGCGCGGCAGCCACGCCTCCGGGGTTTCCACAGAAGCTAAAAGGGAGCACACAAAGCCTGGGACCGTCCTCCCTGCCTCCGCGCGCACGTCGGACCGAACGTAAGACCGAGCCCGCGGCGACCCCGGCAGACAACCCACGGAGAATTCGCGCGCCCACCCGCGAGGGCGCCGGCGCCGCGAACCACCCAGCTGGCACGAGCTTCGGGGCGGTGGAGAAAGAAGATCCGGCTTCCCATAGGCCAGGACGCCGCCGGAGGCGGGCTCTCGTGGCAGAAGCGGGCTGAGGATTGGCGAATCCTCCTCGCCGAGGGCTCGGATTGGCGGCTTCGTCGGGCGTCCTCCGCGGAGGAGCGGCACGCGCGGAGGGCGTGGCGGTCGCTCGGCCCTCCCTCCCCTGGAGTGCGGGCGCCAGCAGGAGCCCGGCGGTTGGCGCTTGGGAACCTCGGCCCAGCTATCCCGGCAGCTCGGGACGTGCGACGGTTCAGAGTGAGGTAACGAGACCGTAGCGAGTGCGCGGCGCCGAGACTCCGGGGCGGCCGGGCAGCCCGCGCGTGCCTGGGGCACCTCGAGGCCCCCCACCGTGGGAGGCCCGCGGCCCCGAGGGCACAAAGGCTGGCCGCGGCGGGGGCGCCTCGTGCCTTCGCCTCCATCTTGCGGAGGCGAGCGGCGGGCCAGGCCGTGGAGGGCGGGCGCGGCCTGCAGGGCGCGCGGGGCCGCACATCTGGCTGTGCGCGCGTCGACCCTGGTCGTGGGGAGTCGGCGGGTCACGGCCGCCGCTTCCCTGGCGCGCTGGACGCCGCCGAGGGGGAAAGCAGAGCGCCTCGCTTTTCATCTTGAAGATTTACCCTTGTCAGCTGTCACCTGTTAACCAGTCTCCGCCGCCCGGGGACGCATGGCCCAAACTTGGTAGAAGCCCTTTGAAATGACCACGCTTAATTCAGCGTGATGTGCCTAATAAAAACGAGCGGGGAACGGCCAGAGCAGAGCAGACTTCGCTGGGGATTGATGAGGTCCAAAACACGGAAGGAGGCCCTTACCTCCTGACAGCTTGCGACACCTTCTGGTTTGGTCTTGGTTAAAATAAACCCAAGCCACTACTTCTCATCTTGTTCTCTCTAGCGGGGTGGGTTAAATTCTGCACCACTTAGGAATGGGTTATGGACCTCGGCTTCACATCACCAGAAGAGCTTTTAAAAAAAAGTTTTTCCCTACCCCCACAACTGAAAAACATACCCTTCGCTGAGCAGCCTTTATGGGCCTCTGTTTTGACACAAGGCACTGGATTGTGGATTTCCCCAACCCCTAGAAGGATGAGAGGTCCGTAAGGGAAGGAAGCCAAAAGAAAACAAGAACAGTAAGTGAAGCCAAAAGTTGGGAAAACAGGAATTTCTAAAAGCCTTTAAATTGTATTATTTTTATAGGTTAGGGGAGCAGCTGGGCCCTCCAGACTTCAATCCCTTCCATACTCCTACAATCCCTTCCATACGCCTAATTCAGAATAAGTTAACTTCTCTTTACCTTAGTTTTCTCATTTATAAAGTGGAATTCAGGCCCCAAAATGATGAGGAAAAAAAAAAATCTTGATTATTCATGGTCTCTGCCTTACCTGAGGCAATCCTTCAAGCCTTTTATCGTTGCTGCTCCAACCTGCCAAAGTGTTCATAGAGTTATGTTTCTAAAGTCTTACCAACCATTCAAGATCAGTTAAGTTGAAATAATTTCAAGTTTTACAGTAATGTCTTATTCTGAGGCAGAGTCTTCCAGGGTAGCCCAAGCTGTCCTGTCTGGGCCTCTTCCTGCCTCAGTCTCTCTAGTGCAGGGGTTGTAAGCATAGATTATCATGCCTGGTTTGGTGCATGATGTAGCCCAGTCATGTCTGGAACTCGGGGATCCTCCTGCCTCAGCTTCCCAAAGTCCTGGGATAATAGGCCTAATGCCCAGCTTGATTCCCTCTTAATTGGTCTCTTACTTGGTCATCATGTAACAACAGAGGGATGGTATATATCACTTGTCTGTCTTTTGCCTAACATTGAGTATAGGAGCATAAAGAATGTAATTTGACTTAAAAAAATCATCATGAGGATAAGAACACACAAAAAATTGAGAAACAACATGTGAAATTGAGCTCTGAGTAGTTTCCTGCCTTATATTAGTATATTCATATGAAGAAACTATCTTTCTCTTCAGAGTTCCTCACAGACGTCATGAAAAGTGGGAAAAAAACTTTCTCTTTGCTAGGCAGTAATCTCTGGGGATTACTTTTGGTACTCTTGTGTCACAGGAAACAGACTGAAACATGTATTTCCTTCCAGCTGTAATTCCCTTTGACATGTCCTTCCTTGGCAAGATGGCTCAGTGGGAAATAGCACTTGCCATGCAGGCCTGAATCCCAGAAACTCATAATAGAAGGAGGTGTCCTCTGCCTTCTTCACTTGCACTGTAGTACACTCAGAATGCAATTCTGGTTTTATTGCACCAAATTTTACCTTGACTCCTTTCTAAGGAATCTTACTGTTTCTGGGATTCCCTTTTAACAATCTGTAGTTAACCATGAAAAACCTGCCATAATGTGTGAGCATTTTCAGGTGTCCGTTGCAAAGGGCACATACTTCTATGTCCTGTCCTGTGCTAGTCATACAGTCCATAGTCATAAAGCCATTAAAGTAGATCTTTCTACGAGGCTGAAACAGCCCTACTTACCACCCTGGTGTTTCAGAAGCAGAACTCTGCTTAGCAGCTCCTCTGAAGATCCTGCTAAAATACAGGTTCCCAACAAGCTCTGAGGTGATATGGATACCTTGTCCTAGATCACACTGTTTGTTTTAATTTTTCACTTTACAGCTGAGTCTGGCTTCAAACTCATAATAATCCTACCTCAGCCTCGAGATGCCAGAATTAATAAACATGAGCCACCGTGCCTGGCTGTAGCTCACACTTGATCAGGAGATACCTACCTAAGGGTCTGCATTTGCCTTATTTAAAGTTGTGGCTCAGTTTTATTTTCTGGTATTGAAAGATGCTTCATTCCATAAACCATATTCCTTTTGTGTTTAGCTTTTAGAATTATCCTGGTAAACAGGATAATTAATTATTGTTGTTGTTGTGGGTATTAAGCATGTATTCTACCACTAAGCTATACTAAAAGTTTGTTTTATTGTGTCTGTGTATGATTGATTATGTGGACCACAGTGTATGTGTGGCAAGTAGAGGGCAGCTTTTGAGAGTCATTCTCCTTCCACTTTGAGTTCCTGGGATTCAGGCCTGCATGACAACCACTATTACCTACCTAGCCATCTTTCCAGTGTTGTTTTTGTAAGACAGGTTCCATTTTTTAGCTCAGACTGGCCTGTACTTGAGTTTCAACTATTTCTCTGCCCTTAGTTTACTTAATTCTGGGGTGTGGTCCCACACCTGGCTTATGTTTTTAATTTTTCATTTTTGAGACAGGTTTTTTTTGTAGCCCTGGCTGTCCTGGAAATCAATCTGTATACCAGCCTGGCCTGGTCTCGAACACACAGAGATCTTTTCTCCTCCAGAATTCTGGGATTAAAGGCTGTGCCATCATGCTCAGCTAGGTTCTTTGTCTTATTCCTAAAAACTATTTGAGAAATCTAAGGTACTGGCAAAACTGACCACACTGGCTTTCAAGTCTCTCTCCTCCTGTATCAGCCTTCTAAGTGCCGGGATTATAGGTATAACTATAGGCACTACCACCCAAAGTCCCTTTAAGTTTTACTTCTTAAAAACATATAATGTCTGGAAAGATGACTAGGTAGTTAAGAGTGCTTTTAGAAAACTGGTGTTTGGTTCCCAGTGTCCAAGTCAAGTGAACAAGTGGACAACCTCTTGAATCTTGCCCCAAGGGGCTCCTCTAGCTTTTGCAGGCACACACACATTTGTACACATACACATAAATAAAAAATAAAGCTTGAATATGTATTCATTTGTGTTTATGCTCTGTGTGTCCGTGTGTGTGTGTGTGTGTGTGTGTGTGTGTGTGTGTGTGTGCGCGCGCGCGCACGCCATGGTATTCATGTGGAGATCAGAGGACATCCTTGAATGTTGCTTCTTGCCTTCTACCTTGCTTTCAAGATGGAGTGTTTCTTGTTTGATGCATTCATACAGCAGACTTACTTGCCCATAAGCTCTGAGGAGATTCTCCTGTCTGTTTTTCTCATCACAGAACTGCTGGAATTACAGACATGCACTATCATGTCCTGCTTTTACGTGGGCTCCAAGGGTCCAGTGTCTGGTGATCAGGCTTGTTCAGCAAGTACCTTTACTTTTTGTTCAGCTGTTTCTCTGGCCTTTGTGGCAAGAATTTTTGTTTTTATGTGTATGTACTTGTCTGTATGACTATCACGTGGATGCAGGAGTACACAGGAGGTCAGCAGAATTTACAGCTCACTGTGAGATGCCCAAGGTGGTGCTGGAAACCAAACCCAGGTGTTATCGCAAGAGCAGCAGATTCTCTTAAGAGCTGAGCCATCTCTCCAGTCCCTGTAACAAGATTTCATTTAGAAGATTTTCCTTTATGTGTATGAGTGTTTTGCCTGCATGTATATAAGTTTGCCATGTGTGTGTAGTGCCCATGGAGGCTAGAAGAGGGTCTTGTATCTTCTGGAATGGGTTTCAGATCACAACTGGATGGTTGTGAGCCACCATGAGATGCTGAGAAAGGATGATAGTTCTTAGAAAGGGAGAAATGACATAATTTGTTTCTTTGTTTTGGTTTTTTGAGACAGGGTTTCTCTGTGTAGGCTTGGCTGTCCTAGACTCAACTTTGTAGACCAGGCTGACCTTGAACTCACAGAGATCTCCTGCCTCTGCCTCTGCTGGGATCACAGGCATGTGCTACCACTCCCAGCTGAAATGACATAATACTATAATCTCAAAAAACAAACAAACAAACAAACAAAAGAAATTTAAAGGGGTTTGGGGCCAGAGAGATGACTGAGTGATTAAGGGCACTGGACCCAGATTTAGTACCCAGCATCGACAGGAGCTTGCTACCAAGGGCAGCTCTTGGCCACTGAGCCACCTCTTCAGCACTCCAGTGACAGGAGTTTTAATAAAAGTAACTGGGGCAAAAGGGTTGAAAGGAAACATGTAGTTAAGTTGATAGACACAAAAGGGGAGGTTTCTATCTTCTGTTTGTTTTTTTTTTTAGGTAGGACTGTCTATTGAGCACTAAGCTTCCTGGAAGCAAAGCAAAGAGGGATTTTGGTTGGTTGGTTGGTTTGGGTTTTTTTCTGTTGTTTTGTTTTGTTTTGTTTTTGAGACAGGGTCTTACTATGTAGCTATGGCTGTCCTGGAACTCACAGAAATCTGCCTCTGCCTCCTGAGTGCTGGGATAAAAGGTGTATTCTACCACCACACCCAACTCAAAGAGGGACTTAAAATAAAAAACAAAAAACAGGCATTCTACAGACTGGGCAGGTTGTGTGTGTGTGTGTCTGTCTGTCTGTCTGTCTATGGTATGGTATGTTTA